TTCTACTTCTTACATGTTGAACACAAATACCTGTACTTTCTACTTCTAACATGTTGAACACAAATACCTGTACTTTCTACTTCTCACATGTTGAACACAAATACCTGTACTTTCTACTTCTTACATGTTGAACACAAATACCTGTACTTTCTACTTCTTACATGTTGAACACAAATACCTGTACTTTCTACTTCTTACATGTTGAACACAAATACCTGTACTTTCTACTTCTAACATGTTGAACACAAATACCTGTACTTTCTACTTCTTACATGTTGAACACAAATACCTGTACTTTCTACTTCTTACATGTTGAACACAAATACCTGTACTTTCTACTTCTTACATGTTGAACCCAAATACCTGTACTTTCTACTTCTTACATGTTGAACACAAATACCTGTACTTTCTACTTCTTACATGTTGAACACAAATACCTGTACTTTCTACTTCTCACATGTTGAACACAAATACCTGTACTTTCTACTTCTTACATGTTGAACACAAATATCTGTACTTTCTACTTCTTACATGTTGAACACAAATACCTGTACTTTCTACTTCTTACATGTTGAACACAAATACCTGTACTTTCTACTTCTTACATGTTGAACCCAAATACCTGTACTTTCTACTTCTCTCATTTTCCAAACAGCTGGTTCCTTTAGTCTGAATGTGTGTTTGATGCGTGATCATTATTCGTTAGAGTCATTGCGTGCCTATTGATTTGAACACGATCCGTGTATCCATCATTTCCTGGTCTTCTCTAAAGAAGAGGGACCAATGGAAACGTTGTCATGTTGCCGTTGTTCAGCATGGAAACATTCATTAGCTAACAATGACATTATTGTTCTATTAATATAAAGGGAGGTCAGGTACTCTTTAAAACAGCTGCTAGTTATGGGTACTTTTTACTTAAGTACATTTCAAATTGGAGAGTTGGGATTATCAAAATAAACAACTATGGCTGATAATCTAATGATCAAAAACATTCTAGCAAAATGTTCACCTACTGTCAGTGAGCAATTCATACATGGATATATTTTTTGGAAACAGCACCCAAGGGAGTCCCAGAAGTCCATGCCGCCAAAATGATGTATAATTTGAGAACATGCCCTTGCACGTAGCTCCAATGTCTGGCTGTGCTGTTTAGTTCCAAAATGTTTTAAGCATTCAGGAGCATAGATACAACAGCCGTCCTCCAATTAAAGCATATTTTGAGCAATCTGCCCATAAGGTTCGCAAAAGCGGAAAGCAGCTACACCACAGAATGTAAATGAAGGAGAATATGAGGAAGGAAATCAACAAGGTACAATGGCCTTTAGCTCTTGCCAGCTTGTGTATTTCTTAGCGCGGTAGAAAACCAATGCATCAGGTGTCTTATGTTGTTCCACCCTTCACCTTGTTAGATGTATACATTTTACACCATGCAGACACACTTGCAGAAAAGGATTTGCCTGTGTGTCAGAGGAGTGGAGGGACAACTTGAGCTTGAGTGTTTATATTCTTGAAATGTGATTGGAAGATGGATGCTGAAGTAGTGAAGGAGGGCAAGTAATGAAGGATGCAGGAAGTATAGCAAGACAAGAAGCATGTGAACTTTTAACTGCAGACTGACGTGAATGTAGAATCAGAAAATGAATCCTAATTACACAAGGTGAATATCGGTGGGATGGCACCGGTTTGAACTTCTCACTGGTCAAAGGTTTAGTGAGCGGTCTGTAATCAACAGCTACAGACACACACACTGCATAAACTCTACGACCCTCAAGCAGCTCTCATGGCAATTCCCTATGTTAATCAGCCGTCTCTACGCTGAACATGTCTGAAACGCATTACTCATGCTCATATTGTGCAATCAACCATTAGCGGCAGAAACCTCATGAAAGGTTGTTCGGGTCCGCACCAGAATACTAATTATAAGAGCTGAAACAAGGGGCAGGGGCTTCAGTGGCCACTGGTGTCCAACTAGCAATTATAATAAACATCTTGAGTCTATTCACTGCACTACACTTAGTATGCTTTCTGTACAGAGTCTATACACACACATTTAAACCCAGAATGTTTTTTTTTTCAACAAAAGAACATTTTCTGGGTCATTTGTTTGGTTTGATACAGTTTGAAAGTATCAGAAACAAATGTATACAGAACAGACGGACAGAAGGCCACTTTAAAACACAGTCACAGATAAAACAGCTGTGTCTTTTGGATTGTGAGTCTGAGTGTGAGGAATGTAGGACATGCTGAGCTGCTGTGTTCTGTTATTGAAAATAGTTGCACATTCTTACTCAAATTTGAATTATTTATTTGACACCAAACATTGCAGTTCTGTCTGTGAACATAAATAATAGCATTTATTTTTTGATAAACTTTGTTTGTCACACATATAAGGTTTACTTTCTATTGAGTTAGAATGTCCAACTGTCCAATTGGTTTATTGGACAGGTAGTTTGGCCTAGCTTGAAAATACAGTTCTTTTGAGAGTGCTTTCCAATCACTAAATACTGTTGCCATGCAGTTGCTGGTATGTTTGCCCATTTTTGGGAATAGTATGTGTGTGTAAAAGCTGAACGTTTTTTTTACTGTGAATGAGAAATCCTCTAACCAAAAGCCTTGGCAAATTAAGGCACCATACAAATCTCAGTGGTTTTGCACACTTAATAGTTGTGAATAGTTTTTTTGAATAAGGCTGTTGACACAAGCTTTCAGACTGAAAAAAACCTAAAACATACATGTAATACATTTAATTAAAGATGTCAGTGTTTTCAGTGCATGCATGGTCTGAGTAATAGTGATGACAATGGCAAGTCCTTCGTTTGAAGCCACCACCATTTTTACTTATGTTTTTGGTTCAGCTTGTTGGTTTCTTTGTCAGCAGGAGAAACTACCGGCCCAATTGTCATGAACACTTGTAGAAAGGTGTAACATGGTCCAAGGAAGCTGGATTTGAAAAAGAATACAACATTCTCATGGAAACAGCCTTGGCAAAGGTCAGTTGTCAGTTTGTTATTAAACTGCAGTAGCTCGTTCACCATGTCAGCCGAATGCTAATCCTGCTCCACTTTAACAGCCCACCTTATGCCACGTTCCCAGTCAAAATTAAACCAGTTTCCATGTCACCCTCCAGCAGGTTCACACACTGTCCTAGGGTGTATTTCCTGTAGTGTCATAGAGACTTGTAGTGTTAAATGGTTAAGATCTCAGTAGGTGGTACCTGATTAATCCTGAATGTAGGCATGTAATAAGGAGCATACTGTATATGTGTTTAAATGTGAGATTAAAATAGATCCCGTACTCTCTCATGGTGTTAAAGGTCACCTATTATGCAAAATCCACTTTTGAATGAACATGTGTCCCCACTTGCCACTTTATGATGTCATAACAATTGTTTGTCTCGTGTAACCATTAACCAATCACCAACCAAGGTAACCCCCCCCCCCCCCCCCCCTTATCACCTGAATCTCCTCTAGAGCACCATTGAGTTCTTTGTAACCAAATCTCTCTCAGAGGGGCGTGGGGAGGGGCTCCTTACTTTCATCTAAAGTAACAGACAGAGAATCAGCACTTTGGAAACAGGGCTGAAACAGAGGGGATTATGGGTAATGCTACAATGATCTGTTTGGTGTTTGGAGCCAAACACTTCAGAGACATGTTTTGTATATATCTGAGACCTGTAATATATTGATGAAAAACAGTATGATAGGGGACCTTTAATTTGCCGGATTTGTATTGTTTCCATGTAAGAAAGTATCACTATGACAAGGTTCAAATTGTACCACTTGAGTCCAGATTGAATTATATGATTCTGATATTTTCTTGTATATAAAGTTCAACTCTGAGCTCAAACTTGACGTCACCAGTACCAGGACATACAGATATTCTCAATAAAGCCAAGAGCCTGTATCAATCACATCTGCTGCTGGTCCTTTGACTCAGTCCTGGCGGAGGTATTAGCTCTGGCTGAATGGACACCAGGCCTGCGCCGTCATTCAACTCTCAGCCGTGTATTTGGCCCAGATCTCTGCCAACAAACATTTGCTGTGTTTTGCTCCAAGAAATGTGCTTGGATATAAGTCAGGATCCTCAGTGGCTGGTGATTTACGCCGTGTGTGTGTGTGTGTGTGTGTGTGTGTGTGTGTGTGTGTGTGTGTGTGTGTGTGTGTGTGTGTGTGTGTGTGTGTGTGTGTGTGTGTGTGTGTGTGTGTGTGTGTGTGTGTGTGTGTGTGTGTGTGTGTGTGTGTTGTGGAGGAAGCCCTTGCTCCTCTGGATGAGATATGATCACACACTTGCACACATACATCACAGAATGGCCAGAGAAGAGAGCAGAATGACAAGTCAAGGGAGAGTCTGTTTCTCTGGAATAAGCAAAGATCACAAGGCGTATAAACAAAGTCACACACACACACACACACACACACACACTTTCATTTCAAATGTGTCCAGGTAGTGAGTAATGTTACTGAAAGTTATCCAAGCGTTTATGGACTATCTACACTGGAAAAACTGAAATGTTAACTTGAATTAAATTAAATTATAGCTGGTTAGCTGAAAAGCAACAATACTAGTTGAACCGAATATGTTTTATTTTTGTATTTAAACTTAATATGATTGCTTTGAACGAACCTAATACAGTTATGTATTAAACTACACTAAGAAATCAAAGACTTAAAAGCACATTTTCTTGATTTAATGTAGATCCATATGTTTTTAATTATTACTTGTGGGTCAGGGAGTGGAGCATCACATAAACAAAAATACAAAATGAATTGATTCAATTGATTGAGTTACTTCACAAACATCTAAACATGAACAAAATAATGAATTGATTTCCACTCCTGTTGATAACAAGGCATCATTAAGAACACATCATCAATGTCTATTAACTACACACATATCAAACTACAATGTTATGTTAAAAACTAAAACTTAAGAGACAGCTGAATTCAAGAAAAACATCTATACATAATCAGAGTATTAAAGGGAAATGTTGCTGCCCTGAACAAACAGAAACGTTGACTTTGATTAAATGTTTTATGTCAACACATTTCACAGAACTCTATTCGGTTAGTTGAAAGCGATAATATCAAGTTAAAAACTTTATTGTATTGCCTTCAACAAACCTAATACAGTTATGTGGAATCTATTGACATTATACATCTATTTAAAGTCAGTTCATTCATTGTGATTTTCATGTCCATGATCAGCCGTCAAACCCATATTCGTGTATACAATCTCCTCCTCACAAAGAAAAGGATGCTCAAACAAACAGTTTTCATCCGTCCACGTGAAGTTGCCCGTCCTGTCGCTGATGACACCACATATGTGTGAGGAAGGAGACTCAGGCACGAATCCATTCTTCCAGTTATTGTAAGACACTGTACTGTCTCTCCAGATCCAGAACCCAAAGACACGACTCTGCCTCAGGGCGATCCAGAACGGACCAACCACATCGCTGCGTTCGAGCCATTGTTCGACAGCATCCTGATCTTCCTCGTCCTCAATCCACAGCAGGCCTGAGTGTTTGGTCTCACAGTATTCAAAGGCTTCTTCCCATGTCAAATTCTTATTGATCACTTTGATTCTCATGTCACCTGATGATGAAACCAGGGAGAACACTGAAGTAAGATTTACAGGTAGAAACAAACGTTTATTCCCATGCACATCTAGCTTCTATTCAGTGTTGTAATACAAATCCTCAGTATGTGTACTTTTACTATGGAATTGAAATGTATAACTTGTACTGTTCTTTACTCTAATGAAGGCATCTTTCACTTTGGACTGCAATTTGCATCAAAATATACATTCCTATATTGACAAAGCACTACCTGAAGTTCAGTTGACTTTATGACAGATAACATCGACATGTGTTTTATTTGAATAGAGTTATTTCGTCTTGACATTTCCTCATGTCACGCTGTTATTACCAGTGCAACGTCAGTGTTTATAGTGTCGTCTAAACATTTTCCCACCATATGTATAGATTGTGTGTTTGTATGAACTTGATCCTTTTATTAAATGTAACATCATATTAGGAATTGCTTTGCTTATATATCACTTACCTTTGGAGCAAAAGCTATTATGACATTGACCACAACCAACTTCATACATTATTCCATGTCGGTAATATGCGCATTCCTTTTCTTCTCCTGGTCTTGGGTCAATAGTCAACTCTCTGAATGAAGAGCAGCCGTTGTCTTGCCACTCCCATTTATCGTGCATGAGTCCTATCCAGAAGCTTCTGTTGTTTCCCTTTTCAAGCACTAACTCATTTTCCCTTTCGCTTTGGATGCTGACCAAGTCACTGTTGTGCGTTCTGCAGTATTTCAGAGCATGACACCAGTCCTCCGCCTCCTTTTCAATCAGGGTGTAGGTACCATCTACAAATAATAAATAAGACAGTTAAACCCTGTGTGTGTGTGTGTGTGTGTGTGTGTGTGTGTGTGTGTGTGTGTGTGTGTGTGTGTGTGTGTGTGTGTGTGTGTGTGTGTGTGTGTGTGTGTGTGTGTGTGTGTGTGTGTGTGTGTGTTGTGTGTGTGTGTGTGTGTGTGCGTGTGTGTGTGGCTTTAAATATGTACTTTAACCGCATTAATAGAAAGAAAGGATAATACATTTTAAAATGACACAGCAATGTCGTGTGTGTGTGTGTCGTGTGTGTGTGTGTGTGTGTGTGTGTGTGTGTGTGTGTGTGTGTGTGTGTGTGTGTGTGTGTGTGTGTGTGTGTGTGTGTGTGTGTGTGTGTGTGTGTGGCTTTAAATATGAACTAAATCCACAGCAGTCGGAAAAGGGTTAAAATGTTTATAAATTGACAGGAAATAAGCGTAAATATATGTATACAACATTCATTTTGAGTTGAATGCTTATTGATGATCACCATCCTTTAGTCTGACATTAACCACAGTAGTTTACCTGCTGTCCATAATGAGATTTTTGAAATGGCATTAAAGTGGCTGTGTGTGTGTCAATGGGGCTCTACAGTTGACTGGTTACACAGACATCTCAACATCACAGATAAATCAAATATGCTGAAACGTACCTTTGGAGCACATGAAATGTTTCTTCTCTGAACAAGTATAACCTGTCCATGTGTCGTTGTCAATAGCTTCACACATCTGCTCCCCTTCTGTCAAACTCACAGATGATTTATTGAAGCTGACATTGTCACCGTTGGACCAAGTAAGATTTCGACTCTTACGCAGGCCAAGCCAGATACCATAATTTGTCTCTGAATCCCGAAACTTCTCTGTGAAATTGTCGTCCTCTTCATCATACAGAGTTACAGGTGATTCATTATTCTGAATACAATGGTTGGATGCGCCACTCCACTTGATACGAGGACCGATGTCAAACATTCGTAAACGGTTTGAAGTGAAGGTAAAGTGAAATAATCCTGCCAAAAAAAATATATAATATATTATTCTTCACTATATTCTTAACATGAACTGCATAAATAAACAACAAACAATATTTTGAGCTTTAAAATGTTTAAATTGAGATTAGGTAAACCTCACCAACCTCTCTTATGAATACATGATTCATTTCTCATTTTATCAAAGTAGGAATAATGGAGGCAGCTTGTAGAAATATATAGTACTACTGATTAGAAAATATATCATCTTTGAGATCTATTTGCAGGGCCTTATCCTCTAACAATGGCATGCATTAACTTATGTGCACAAAATATCCAAAGATCAGAAAGGAACCCTCACCTGAACACAGCAGGAAAACCAAAAGAGCCATCTCCACGGTGATGTTAGGTTCAAATGGTGAGAAGACTTTGAAGAATACAAAGAATAAACAAAGAATATTAAGCACAGAGATGAACAAGGAAATATCTAATGCGTTGTGTGTATGAGAGCTGTTGAACCCCTTATTATTAACAGTGTGTGTCGTCCATATCTATGAAGTCTCTTACCTGTTGAGGTCTGGTGCCGTATGCTGTTGCAAACTTTGAGAAGTCACAGGTTTATATCTGGCATGAGGGACGTAAACCAGCTGAACGCACCAGCTATTTTCCCTCACATGAGTACATAGTAAAATCAGGAAAGGCGAGAGATTATTGATTAACTAAAGGTGGTGAAGTCTGGCTGAATAGATCTCTTATAGCATATCCAACTCATTTAGAGGAAGAATTTGACTGTCGCCTTTTAGGGTGCTTTCATAAGCCTACGTCAGGTTTAATCTAATTGTATTAGTGCAGCTGCTTCTCTGTTCCAGTAAACACAGACTGTATTTGCTGGAAATGGCATTTGCATATTTGTCATATCGAGTACTGCCTGTCCTTAGAAAAAAGATAAAATACTGTTAGATTACTGAAGAAAATAAACACTTTTGTAAAGATGGAGCAGACCGAACAAGAAAGGAACACTACCTCCAATTCGTAAAAACTAAATGTCTCGTAAAAATGTAAATCAATTTGTCTCCAGAAAATACACAAAGGGTGCTGCATTTGGTGTAGCAACATGTCAAGTGTTACCGTATGTATTCCTATTTGATTTTCATTTGTACTGTTCCCATCCATCCATGCACACTGGTCTGAATTTCGGCTTTAGGCCTGTTATGTCTCTAAACTGACCCTCTGCAAGTCCTCTGTCATACCCATAGACTACTCTAAGGCTTTGTTAACATGTCGTATATAAATGGGCATTTGGTGGTACTCTCACTCACTCTCTGCACATCTCAGGCCTCTGATAATGTGTGTATGTATGTTTAGGTTAACCAGGCCCAATGGGTCTCGAACTACATGAGCTTAGTTTGACTGCACTTTTAAAGACTAAGGAGCGCCGTTGTGTGTTGAGGACAAGTGATCTATACGATATATACCACTGCCACTTTTTATAGAGATAATTCACACCGTAACTCAGCCCCGTCACCTCGTCTGACCTAGCCAAGTGTCAACTGAGTTTGTATAAATTGGGGGATTAAGGCATATTTTTTATTTCCACTGTGAGTTTAACGGATACAAGCGGCCAAGATGGGTTTTCTCCGCAGGGTGGCTGGTGTCTCCCTTAGGGATAAGGTGAGAAGTTCGGTCATCCGGGAGGGACTCGGAGTTGAACCGCTCCTCCTTCGTGTCGAAAAGAGCCAGTTGAGGTGGTTCGGGCACCTAGTTAGGATGCCACCTGGGCGCCTCCCTAGGGAGGTGTTCCAGGCACGTCCAGCTGGGAAGAGACCAAGGGGTAGACCTAGGACCAGGTGGAGGGATTATATCTCTTCGCTGGCCTGGGAGCGCCTTGGGATCCTCCAGTCAGAGCTGGTTGATGTCGCCAGGGAAAGGAAAGTTTGGGGCTCTCTGCTGGAACTGCTACCCCCGCGACCCGACCACGGATAAGCGGGAGAAGATGGATGGATGTAAGTTTAACAGGAATTTGACCTATGCAGTTTTTGGAGAGAGGGATAGATCCAAGCATATAAAAAAGAAAAAAGTAGAAAGCCATGCGTATTAGACTACAAACTGTAGCTCTATTAAAGCATCCAGTGCTGGGGTTTTGTGCAATCATTGGACATTGATGAGAAGACTTCCAGCCATCAAAAATGTGCCCATTAGCTTTGAATGAGCGTACGTTCAGTTGTTTTGAGTGCTATACTTTGAGAAGTTTCAGCAAGACTTGTTGTCCGTGAGTTGCCAAATAATGTCTTAGCAAGGGAAATGGTCGATATAAAGTTTAAATCGAACACATATATTGGCCAAAACATTGGTGATTAAGTTGAACCTAATATTTTGTATGAAACGTAATATTATTGCTTTCAACTAACCTATACAGTTATGTGAAATCTGTTGACATAATATATTTTATTACAATCAATGTTTCAGGTTCTTTCAGAACACACATCCCTTTTTAGTGTACATCCTTTAAGTAATACATATCGTCGTAAATAGGGTATCCATGAGCTATGAAACCTAATAAATAAACTAATGAATGAAATGGAAACATTGTGTGAGCTTGTTCATTCTAACATGGTCATTTCTGTGTTTTTTTAATACTATTTTCAATTCATGACAACAACAACAACCATGAAATGAACAACTCACTGTTAGTATGGTCCCATGCCAAGTTTTGGTTATTTAATGTATGGCCTTTTTACTGGAAAGATCATAACATTCAGAACATATCATTATGTATGCCTATCAGACCATGCTGTGGTGTTGCTTTAGTCAAATGTCATCAAAAAAACATGGTTAGGTATTAAAATCCTGGCACCTGGAGTGAGGCCGCTAGGCACGTACTGCATGTCTCAATGAATAGCCCCGTGTATCAGGGGGTGATATGCAAATTCATTCAAAATGTGTTGATTGATAATGGACTTTGGACCTTTCTGTACTGGTTTGCTTGGTGTTTTAAAATGACACAGCAATGTCGTGTGTGTGTGTGTGTGTGTGTGTGTGTGTGTGTGTGTGTGTGTGTGTGTGTGTGTGTGTGTGTGTGTGTGTGTGTGGTGTGTGTGTGTGTGTGTGTGTGTGCGTGTGTGTGCGTGTGCGGCTTTAAATATGTACTTTAACCGCATTAATAGAAAGAAAGGATAATGAATTTTAAAATGACACAGCAATGTCGTGTGTGTGTGTGTGTGTGTGTGTGTGTGTGTGTGTGTGTGTGTGTGTGTGTGTGTGTGTGTGTGTGTGTGTGTGTGTGCGTGCGTGTGTGTGGCTTTAAATATGTACTTTAACCGCATTAATAGAAAGAAAGGATAATAAACTGAGCTAGTGTCAGGAAATAAGCGTTATTATATATATTTTCAAATGAGTGTTGACTGATTCGAGAAATAAATAAATCACATGCATTTTCTTTCAATAAATGTTCTCATTGCAACGTAAAACAATTAAGTCGAAATAAATGAAAAACATATCGTTTTAGTTTAATGCTTGTTTGATATTGTAAGCATTATTGGAGCATTGTAATGGTCAGTAGCCTCCGACCTCTCATGCATATAATGTGTTTTTTTAGTGCAAAATACATTACATTGTGTAGTTTTTAATTAAAAAAAAGAGTAAATGTAACTCCATCCATATCCATAACCTGGTACAAAAACAATACCTGGAAAGTAGCTGAATATGACACAAATGAAAGTGTACAGCTTAGCTTAAAACACTTTTGCCGATATAAAACATAACCAATCTTCTTAGAGATGTTGTTCAGTTAATATACATGGACGCCAACATACTGTAGCTCACATTCGCTGGCGTCATTTGTTTACACAGCCTCGGATTTGAATTTCAAATAAGATTACTGTATGCTTGTAAATACTGTAAACCTTGCTCTCTCCAGTTAAGTCAACAACAGCATTGTGGGTATCTGGGATACACAAAGGATTAGTGATTCGGGTGTCATTAAAAACATATATTTGTTAACACACACCAATCCTCAAGCTGGTACGAACAGAGACATATTGCAAACATGTCATAGATGTCTCACAGTAAGACCTTTTTGATAAAGCTCATAGTTAGGGCTGATTAGATTCAGCCCCTAGTTTTGCTGCTATAGGCTTAGTTTGTCGGGGGACATCTTACTTCTTCCTTCTCTCTGTCTATACCTGTGTACTCTCATGTTCAGATTAACCCAGCTTCCCCAAATGTCTTTCTCTTTGGTGTCTATATACGCCGGGATCCGGAGTCATGGATGATCCTGCGGTCCTGTGTCCTGCATCGCGAGCCCTGGATCTTGAGTCGTGGCTGTGGTCCTGGATCATAAGTCCTGGATGGATATCCTCGTGGATTCATCTTCTTATTATAGACACAGGCATTTCCAAACATTTGGACTACCTATGTTGCAAATGTATTATCTTTTCAATTCACACACGGCATCTATTGCACGTCTGTCCGTCCTGGGAGAGGGATCCCTCCTCTGTTGCTCTCCCTGAGGTTTCTCCCATGTTTCCCTTTAAACTGTGGGTTTTCTCCGGAAGTTTTTCCTTGTACGATGTGAGGGTCTAAGGACAGAGGGTGTCGTATTGTCATACTGATATTCTGTACACACTGTGAAGACCACTGAGACAAATCAAACATTTGTGATATTGGGCTATATAAATAAACATTGATTGATTGATTGATTGATTGACAATGTTTAAGCAGTACACAAGCATGCTACACTGACACAACTGAAAAGATACACATTTCAGATAACTGTATTAGGTTAGATGAAAGCAATACTTTTCAGTTGAAATACAAATAGATTCAACTTAATATTATTGCTTCTAACAGACCTAATCAAGTTATGTGATGATCTCTAGTGAAATTCTCAGTTTTTTTGTGTAAGTTTTAAACAAAAAGATAACAATCACATCAAAAATGACACAAAACACTTTCATGTGACTCTTTTTTATTTGTGTTTGTATTAGTCAATGTCTTGAACATGTCAGAAACAAACAACAATAATAATTATTATTATTATAACAAAGAACGTTCAAAGGTACAAAAAAAAAAAAAAAAATCTCAAATAGTCTCTGTCATGTTCAACAGGGGCAAGAAGAAGCTTAAAACTTCAAACATATGATTATCGGTAAACTAACTTTATAGCCATGTTCCCGTCTCGTGTGTCTGTGTATTGAATTGCTCCTCTGTGCTCTGTACCATGATAACAACACACACACACAGCCTGCAACCCTTGGAAAAGCAGAGCATGATGGAATCTGTCTGTAATCCCCTCTGTGAGCTTGTTTACTCTCCGCCGTCAGTACCATACATCAAGCCACAGACATATTCCCTCCACATATTGCAGCTGGAGCGCTCTGACGCAGTGTCATGATGGAAGGGGGACATGTTACCTGAAATCACAC